AGCAAACTGAAGCTGTGAACAATCTCAATCTCTTCACCTTCCATCCTGATGCTACCAATTGGTCCAGTGGTGAGAATTTTTGTCTTCTTGACATTGAGCCTCAGTCCATATTGAAGATCCAAGAGATAGAGGACATTAAGGCACGTGGTTCGAATACACTAGTGCTCTGCAGAAGAAAGATGAACAATCTCCTCCAATGTGATTTACTGCCTCTGAAAATCCACTGGATAGTCAGCTATAAGCTGAGTCCAGCTAGAAGGTAATTAGCAATTACAACACGGTGTTGTAGAGGACATTGAGAAATAAAAGACTACAAGAGTGGGCTTGGGAGCTGGTATAGTTTTCTCTCCAAAAGGATTTTGTCAGTCCTAACCCCTGGAGCTGTGAATGTGATTAAATTTGGGATCAGACCTTTATTTTGTGTTAATGAAGACATAACAGAGTAAACACGTTATAAACCTAGTAATTTATAAAAAGAGAAGAATAGCCCTATGGATACCGAGTGGGCAAATAAATACCTTGAGGGGACCTATCCACAAGTAAATAATTATCGAAGATCACCAGCATCTACCAGAAACTAGAAGAGAAGCCCACAGAGGGAATTAATAAGCTAATATCCAGCTTTGAACTTTCAGTCTCCAAATTGTGATAACATAAAGTGTCTTTTTTAAGTGCACTCACTTTAAGTGTGTGTGTTTCTACTGTTTTTTCTTTTTTTTTGCTAGTGTAGAAGAAAACCCTCTCAGAATAAGCACTTGCTTATTTTCAACCATATGTACTGCACTTTGCTGTCTTACAGTGTTACAGACACAGATGGAGTCCTTTTAGCTTAATTCTGTACTCATCTCTGAGTTAGCTCTGTGTAGATCCTCAGGTGTGTGCAGACTTGTAAGAGTCTCTTTCTTACCATTCCTCCATCCTCCCCCAACCCCAACCCCAACCCCATCTATCTAAACACATCCCCTCCTATGAGTTGGGTGCAATGTGGTAAATACAGGCTTTGGAATCTGACTCAGAATGGGCTCCTGGATCCACCCCGTCTATGTGACTTTGGACAAGTTTAAATGCAAAGAGTCTCAGATTCAGATTCCTTGTTCTGTCAGTAAAATGGTGTCAGAGAATGGTGTTAATAGTCACTTTTTTCTTTACAGAGTAGTTGTACCAATTATACTGAGCCAACACCTAGGAAAGTGGTTACTGCGCTAACTGAAAGTAGAAAGAAGGCCTGACTCCAGAATGACTGCAGCTTTTCTCTGTAGTTCTGCCTCCCCTCCCTTCCAGACAATGATCTTGCAGCTTCAAAGTGCTGAAAAAACAAGGATGAGGGTACTGAAAACTATAACAAGGGAGAGGGCACTCCGAAAGCACAGAGCCAGTCCAAATGAGCTCATGTCCCCAAATCCTGATGACTCACTGCACAGAACACTGCAAGACTTTGGAACTGTGAATGCAGGATCACAGTCTATAATCAAACAGCAGCAACTGGCAACAGAAAGAGTGGGTGACACCTATCTCGCAGCAGCTCCTGTACAAAGGACCCAGGGACCTTGGTTAGCTACAAACTAAAGATGAGGTAGTAATGTGGTGAGACAGTCAAAAGCTACTGACAGCCCAGGTTGCATAACAAGACCTCTTCACAACGAGACAGCAGCCCCACTGACCTCTGCAGTAGTCAGACACTATAAGAAGATGAAGAGCCAGCTCCTAGCCCCTTGACAAAAGATAT